AGGGAGATTTGTTACCTAGTTTGTATCCTTTAATTAGGGAGATTTGTTACCTAGTTTGTATCCTAGAGAGAGCTATAAATTTCGATGTACAGAAGCAYAAATGATYATCCCATTCTTCATATCTTTCTGTCTCTTCTTCGATATGTCATGTTGAAAGAAAATTGAACCACTACCTTTCTAGGAAAACCTAGTTACGAGGTCATTAGTGCAAGGCAATTCTTTAAGTGAAGGCCAATGATGTGGTGGTTGTCTTTAATTGAAGTATCATAAATTTTACACCATCCAAGGCATGATTTCAAAGATGGAAGTGGTACTACAACCATAGAAACAGTTTAGGTCTATCTATAACATGCCATCAAAATCACTGGTAAATAAGAGCTGCCATCAACCTTGATTCCCATCATTATAGCTGCTATGTTGTTGCATTTTCCAGGAACCACATTCAAAACTATCTTAAAAATAATATACTCGTGGTTCCAACGGCCACTTGCATCCATCAGAGCACTATGAGTTTTTCCTTTTTTCAATTATTTTAAATTGCCAACCAAATCATTAAGCCCCTATGCATGAGAAAAAACAGATTTCTTGGAAATGCAATCTCTTAATCCAACTGATAATTTGATGAAATTTATTATCATAAGAAAAATAAATTATTATCATCATTCCAGTGGCAAAAGAGATTAGAACATGTTTAAGACTTACTTTTCAGCAAGATCTTTATACTTATCAGCATCCAGATTAGCGATTACTACATCTTCCTCCAATTTATATGCTGTTGCAACCTTTTCATAAGTCTAGAAAAAAGGGAGGCAGACAATTATCAGAGTTCAAATATATTATAAACCTTTTTAATCAACATGGTCAAATTAAGAAAAACCATACTATAAATAACAATACCAAAGCTCTCTTATTGTATTATACTTACAGGAGCTAGATTTTTGCAGTGGCCACACCTGCAAAGTAAAAAGCCATGGTTCATAAGATGATGAATTTATAGGATTGAACTGTATTCTATATAAAATATGAAAACCGAAAAGTAAGAAATTAGTTAACTTTCACTGGGAATCAAAGTGCATGCTCTAAACTCAAGAATGAGATAATTAAATGTAATGAAAAATGTTAAGTGGAATACATGTTCAACATAAATAACACATATACACAAGCATTAACACAGACACATGCATACCTGTTTAGGATAGCCTCAGATAGAGAGGAATGGTGAAAGAGTATTTGCATTGCTGACCTAGTAAAGTGGTATAAGGTTGGTGATACTCTAGTGTGTGTGTGTGTATTAGTATAAATACTTTATTTAGTTCAGTTTTTCAGTTAAGAGAGAAAGAGATGTAACACTAATGTAGAATTGCAGATAGAAAAACAGGAAAAGAATCCATGGAGAAACAAATATAATCCTTCTAATTCCTGCATCAATTGCAATTTCATAACTTTTAGATTATCAGAATTCTATTCAATTTGAATTCCTTTGAAGTTGATTTCTAGTTTGTTACTATCTTAATCGTCTTAGTGGGTCAAATTAGTGTTTTTTTTATAACAAAGAAAGAGGGCATGGAGTAATAACAAGGGGTCACTGTCAAAAGTAAAACCCATACAAGGCATGGAATGGTTCCCAAGACCTAGTCAGAGGAAACTCCTTTAAATGCATAGCATTGCAAATAAAATAAAATCAGGAATTTGCACAGCCAACATGACACACGTAAAGAATCACCTATTTTAATAGTGGAAAAAACTTGGAAATGTTAAAGCAAATAAGGGGAGTCAAACACCATTCTCCTAGGCAACTGCTTTTTAAACTGCTAAGAAGAATCCTTACCATGGGGCATAAAACTCGACCAAAACATCTTTTGTTTCGTCCATAACAACCTCATCAAAATTATCTGCTGTAAGAACAATTACATTGGATGGTACAGTAGCTATCTTCACATTGGTTCCTGCACACAGCCCAAATAAGTGTGGAAAAATGCCAACAAAATCTCCAGTCATAAAGAATCAAAACACTTGGTGAAAACTAGCAAAAAACAGAGAGTGACAATTCTGCAGATTACCTCCTTCAGTGTTCACAAATTCAGCAAGGGATTCTGCAGTACGTGGTCCTTCATACCTACACAAGTTATACGTTTCAACTTTCATGTATCCAAAGGGATAAATAACAGAGAGTGACAACAGAAAAGAGAGAAAAAGGATAATTTGTTTGATTGAAGATAGTGTAGAGAAATAGATACAATATTTTCCTCACTTTTTGGGTTCCAATGATCCTTTAGGAAACCATTGAATTGTAGGATATCCAGAGACCCCATATTTGCTGCAAAGACTCTTATGTTCATCACAATCAACCTACATCAAAAAAAGCAATATCGCGAGGAGTGAGCAAAAGTATTAATAAACGAACAGTCATAAAGTTTTGTCAAAATTTTATAATTACAGAAGTCTGCATAAAACAATTTAAATATCAAAATGTAAAATTTTACCTTTCCAATCAAAACAGTCTTGGCTTTCTTAAAACTTGTACCAAGTTTCTCATACTCTGGAGCAAGCTTTTTACAATGCCCGCACCTGTCATGAGAAGTAAAGTTAGAATTCCTGTCCTATAACATGACAATGCAAGACGAGAAGCTGAGATATGACGTGGTAAACAACTTTCATAAATTCCTTCGCCTTTCTGCAGAAGTCCTCTACTGAAAAGAAATGGCATTCTGCATACGTATACATGCTTGATATAAATACATGTATAGTTTCCACCATGATGGAACCAACATTATTGGGTTCCCCAATTAACTTCAATGGGAAAGTCAACGTATTCCAACTTTTGCCATCACAGAGGCAGTAGACGTGATAGTGGATCCCTCTTCAAATTGAAGCTAACTACCCACAGTGTAAGTTTATAGAAATTAGAGCAGGGATTGCCAAAGGGGAAAAGGTTCAACTCGAAATCTTAAACAAAGTTGACACTTTAATGACAATTATGGATGAAAGTCCAAAGCTCCAAGAAATTAGAGAATGAAGAAGAGAAAAGGAACTAAAATTCCACTTATCACTTGCAACTATTTTATTTGAACTCCTACCTAAATTTCTATAGAAAAGTAATTCCGTAAAAGGAAAAAAAAAAATCACAAATCATTTTAAACTAATTTCAGCTAGATCTGAATATCGTCTAAACGCATTCTCCATATAGGCATATATAAGAATCAGAACCTAAAAATCTCAGATCTCCATCAAACATGATCAAAATTGCTACACTACAACTTATCACAACCACTTCAAGAACCCAATTACCCAAGGATCAAACCAGCACAGATCATTTTAAAAAATTGACCTTGATACTAATGGAAACAAAGAAATGAATTACATGACACGATAAAAGGAAGTCATACCAAGGGGCGTAAAATTCGACGAGAGCGCCACGATCTTGTCCGACCTCCTTTTCGAAGTTAGCTTCCGTCAAAACGGTAACATCATCTGCGAAAGCTGATGCAAAGAGAAGAGCTAGGGTTGCGAAAGCGAACCAGATCTGAAAACTCGCCATGTTCAGTCAGAAGAAGTGAGGAAAATAAAACGAAGGCGGCGAAGAAATAGCCCAAGTGCCCAACGGTAGAACTGGGAATTGATCAGCATTGTTGATTTTTTATAGAAATTTCGTTCTGTAAATGGTCAGATCAAAGTGTACAGACTCAACATTCAACAAGGGTGATTTTGTCATTATAAAAATATAATCAGACGGGCGTTTTTGCCACCTGGCATAAATGGGTGGAGGGAATATGCTGTGCTCGTCATTCATGACAGAACCTGCATCCTGATTGGAGCTCCCGTTCCTCCGATGATGACGTGTACCTTAAAAATATCGAGTTCGCATATGCGCCTCATATGCACATCTCAGCGTGCATGGCGAACATCTCCGTAGTTGTTACTAGACGGTTGGGATGTGTTGTAGAGACCGGATCTATTCTTCACTCGCCGCACAAGCGCCTCACACGCATACTTTGAAAATGTCTCCCTTATTTATTAATTATTATTCACGGAAGATATTCTCAATGCACGGTCAATGTACCTGTAAGGCGCCCATTTATTAAGAGCAGATCCCCTCACTATGTTGTAATCATGTAGAGCGCCTGTGAGGCGCGCTCTATAAAGCGCCGCTGCGAATTCGAAAATATCTTTGAAGACCGTAAAGTAAACGGATCAGATGGAATGATAAACCCGCATTGACCGGACCACTGAGCCGGCCTTATTCCAGTACGTTCGGCTTGGGTTCGCATTGATTCATTGAGATCGAGTCACTCCCGCATTTGACTCCAGATGTCCTGAAACGAAATACGTACTAACAGTATACCATTCCAACATAATCTGACACCGCACATTTCATTCATGGCGGTGAGTCCCAATCTCTTCCTGAGATCTCATGTGTCAGGCTTATTGGACGGGTGTTGGAACGTGTTCTATTGTTATTAGGAGATCCCAATTCCCCGCAAGTCTTGGATCTGTTCCCAAGGAAATACGTTTCAAATAGAGGCATTCATCATATGGTTTAGACCGATAAATCGCACCAAACCAAATCGACGGTTTGGTCTATTCTGACTTTAAAAATGGTTTGGTTTGATCTAAACATTTTTAGACCATAATTTTATGGGTTGGCCTAGTTTTCTAAATTTTAAAAACCAGACCAAATTGTAAATCATATTACATGAAATTATTTGTGTGTATTTGGCAAACATAATACATATGTCTAATAATAGTAAGAGGTGGTATTCTAACATTTCAGTTTGATATTTGGATTATATTTGTTACTTATATAGATATGTATATTATTTGGGCTCTCTAATTGGGTTAAACACAATAGTATGGCTCAAACCATATTAAAAACACGACCAAAATGTAATAGATGGTTTAGTTTGGTTTGGTTTGGTTTGGTTTTTATATTTAAATGGTTTGATTTGGTTTAAAAATTTCTCAAATTGTAATTTATTAGTTTTGTCCAAGATCTTCTTCAATCTGGACCATGAACACCCCTAGTTCTAAAACACTTTCAACATGACATAGGCGAACACCCCTAGTTCCAAAACACTTCGAACATGATACAGCACTCTACACCTAATGTGTGGTGGGTCCTGATCTTATAGTGAGATGTGCAATGTCAAATCATTTTGGAACGGGTTTTATTGAGAGCAGATCCAAACTGGAATCGAGAACAAATCCATCTTTCAAAAAAGACCAAAATAAATCAAACCCAAATTTGATCCCAATACAGCTGTTGCAGTTGTGCCTAGGTGTGGTTATTTGGATGGACTGTTGGGACCATATCCAAACTCGAAAAATTCCATCTTGTGTGTTGCATCTTGTTAATTTAAGATGAACTCCAAATACATTGTTTATTAACACTAAAGTTGATCAAATAAGTGGATCAAGAGGTCTCGTTGTAAGTGTAGTTTTATCTTTAAACTAGTGGGGACTTGTGTGATGCACAAGCTTTTGTAAAGTGAAAGTAAAACAATAAAAACACATAAGAGTAAACAAATTTTTGTATATTTTAATTTTTGAAATAATTAATAATTATTTATGTTTTATATACTATTTTTAATAATTTTTTTACAATATAAAAATAACAATAATGAATGTCAACTAAATTAATAATCTAATCTCGAATAAATAATAACAATTAGTCTCCAATATTTATTAAAATTTTATAGCAAAAATATATAATTATTAAAAATAAATTTATAATAAAATTACAATAAATAACTAATAAAAATTCAACAAATCTAATAGTTACAAAAATACAATCTATTAGCTTCTCTAAATGCATGGGTAATGGCCACAGTCATTTGCACCATCATTGGAATGACCTATTGCAATTGATAGTGGATAGTCCAAGCAATAGTATTGTGTTCGTTTATCATGTTCACCAGAATTCTGTTATTACATTCAACTAACAAATGAGTCCAATTATATTCAAGGCAAAGATTTAAGTCATTATAGAGAGAAAAAGCTTCAACGTCCATATTGAGGAGCCAAAGCATGTAATTCAAAGATCTAATTTGGAATACGAATACTAACATAGGGCCCGTATGGCTCGTGGAAGATCTAGCCACTAAAAGATGGTGTGTCGAAAAGACGCAAGAAGCCTATTTCGGGAAGCTTCAACCGCATCTTTCGCGTTTTAATCTCATGTAGAAAGATGTGGGCAGATGCACGGAAAGACACGCATCTACCAAAGTGCTTTCAGGCTGCCCAGATCTTATGTCGAAACCTCAATGAGTCTTTTGACTATTAGAGCTACAAGAAGATCTTCTCAAAAAGGCATGCCAAATGGGCCCCTGATTAGCTGCCAAATGCTTATCTTCATAGCAAAGACGATACCTTTCAAGCCAAATCTCTCTCTCTCTCTCTCTGTATATATATATATATATATAACAAAGCCTTTTTTTGAATTTTTTATTTTTTTATTCCATGTCATTTTTGAACAATCAATGAGATGCACTTTCCCATCACCTAAATAATCTCTTCTCGTAAGATTTCTCCAAAACTACCTCCCAAACTTTCTCCAAAATTATCTCTAATTCCTATTTCTCCTCTCCCCTACTTTTTATCTATATCTATCTAAAGAAAGTTTACATTAAAAAATTTAAGAACTATTTAAATATTTTAACAAAATTATATAATAACTTTAAAATATTTATTAAAAACACAAAAAAAATTTATATATTTACAAAATATATCACGAAATTATGTATTAACAATTTAAATTATGTTTATTTGGATTATCAATTTAAATGTTTTTCAAATATTTAAAAATATGTAATAGCTTTAAATAAATAAAATTAAAAGAACAAAAAAAATTAGATATTTTATAGATTATTTAAATATTTAAATAACTAAATATTTATCATAACTATATTTCAAATAGTTAAAAAACGAAATTAACTAATAAATAATTTTATATTTTTATAAAATATATCACAAAGTTATGTACTAACAATTTAAATTATGTTTTTCTGGATAATCAATTTAAATGTTTTTCGAACATTTAATAATATGTAATAGCTTTAAATAAATAAAATTTAAATAACAAAAAAATTTAAATATTTTATAGATTATTTAAATATTTAAATAACTAGATATTTATCATAACTAGATTTTAAATCGTTAAAATAACGAAATTATGTAATAAATTTAAAAATTTATTTAAAGCAGAAAAATAATTATAACATATATTAAAAATAATAATAATTTAATATATTACCAAATTAATAATGAAATTATGTAATGATAGTATAAATTATGATTTTATGGATAATTACATTTCATAAATAACTAATACTTTAAAATTTAAATATTTTACATATTATTTAAGTATTTAAAAAACTGGGTATTTTAAATAACAAAATATTTAACATAACTAGATTTTAAATAGTTAAAATAAAGAAAATATGTAATAAGTTAAAAAAATCTGTAAAGTAGAAAAATAATTAAAACMTAATATTGAAATTAATAATAATTTAATATTTTTACATAATATTGTAAATAACTAATTTCACTTTTATGAAGTAATAATTCGAGAAAATAACTTTCAAAAAAATTAATATTTATTAATAATAATTTTAAACTCTTAATTTGTATTTATTATATAATTATATATACTAAAATTAATATTTATTGTATTTTATTAATTATTTATTGTTTTTGTGATAAATGTATTTTCAATGATTATGTATAAATTTATTTTGTTTTGTTATTTAATAGAAAACTTTTAATAAATTATTGGAGATTAAATTAAATTTAATTTATTGTACTTATTGTATTTATTGTTTTTTGTTATAACTTATTGATTAATATTTATTATGGATTAAACTATTATTTGAGATTATACTATATATTGACTAAGTTAATATATTTTTAGTACTTATTGTATTTTTTCATTATCAATATATTTTTTAATAATTGTGTATTTTTGCTATAAATTTTCAATAATTATTGGAGATTAAACTATTGTTATTTATAAGAGATGAAACTATTAATTTAGTTGCAATTATGAGTTTTCATGAGTTGGTTCGGTTCGGTTGTAGGCTATTTGGCCAACCAAATTGGCTTGGTCAAGTTGGAGAATTGGTTAGCTGAAACCGACTAACATTTTTTGTGAAAACCGACCCACTTAGGTTGTATCTATTTGTGCCAATTTTTTGGTTTGGTCAGTCAGTTCAAAAGATTTAAACTTAAAATTTTAATTTAATTTAAAAATTATAGTGCAATTATTAAAAAAATATATTTCTGATATAAAATATTTTAGACTAAGAAATATGGAAAATTTTTCACTTTTCCATATCAAAATTTATATTTAAAATATAAAATGTTAATATATATCCATGGTTAGGTCGTTCAATTTTGGTTGGTTTACAAATGGTCAAATTGAAATTGATCAAACTTGGTCAAATTAGAAAATTTTTGAACCATAGCCGACCTAAAATACTAGAAAACCGACCAACTCGGGTCGAGTTGATCGGGTTGGTTGGTTTCATCAGTTTGATGAATAAACTTAACTGAAATTAATTATTTTTATCTTCATATTATAAAAAAATATTAAAAGTAGTATATAAAATATGAATAATTATTAATTATTTAAAAAGTTG